AGTAATATGGTCTTCTAGTGAGAAAATGATGATGAAGATGTTGGTGAACGTAGAATATAAAAAAAATGAGAGAAAATACAACAATAATCGTTGTAATTATAACTGTTTTTGAAAATGTCTCTTACAATTAATATTGCGTTTAACACTATAATTCAAAATCTGTTATGAACAAGACTTAAGAGAGAAACATATTGTTTAATAATTGTATAGTTGATAAAACAAACACGCAATAATCATAAATAGAAGAATTTATTTTGTATTTTTTTTCTTATTATTACTAATTCTTATCATAATATTTTACGACACTCTATGTTTTCCTATATGACGGTGTTGCATGCATAAAAAATCTGCTTTCTCTCTATTTTCGGTGTATATTGCTGAATAATAAAATAATGGAAAAAAAAACATTTCAAATTAGAAAAAACATTTGCTTCTGTCACCATTCATATCAATTCATTTAATCATTCTTTGATGGTTGTTGAAGTAACAAACATTTGACGTTTAAAAATGTTATCATCAATGTTATCATATTATATTTAAGATACATGCAATTAATATATCTTCGATAAGGAATATTAGTAAGATGAGAAGAAAAATTTTATCAATAAGTACAATACGTTTCAAGTTAGATGGATAAATGATTAGTTTTAATACCTAATGAAGACTGATGATTATTGAGATGTTCTTTGTCTGGTTGTGATGTCTGTGCAATAGGCCAAATTATCGTTGAAAGAGAGACATGATGACAGTTCTAATTTAGTAATTAGTTGAACGTCACAAAATACGATGTTCTCAACAGTGGATTTTGGAGATATAGGAGTATCATCTCCGACTTACTCTTTCCCGTCCATTGGTACATAAACTGGTAAGCAAAACATATGTTTGTATTTGATGTTGTTTATTTAAAAACAAAATACAGCATATTATTTCAGAAAAGTTCTGAAAATCGCTTATACTTTTGAAATAACCTAAATTCATCACTTGATGTGGAGATGGAAAATTGTTTCCGTACTATCTCTCGTTAAAATGGATGAATATATTTTGTAGTTTTTGTTATTGATTGACCCAATCAGTACGAGTCATTGATCATTTATGTTTATGGGCTATCTCTCGTTAAAGTATGTCACGGATGTCTTTGTTTAATGTAATGACAAAATAACAGCATTATCTTCTAATTTCACTTTTCCTTAACTTGCGTGTTTTGAATACAGAAAGAAAATAATTTAATTAGATATGTATATGTGTGTGTGTGTGTTGGAGAATCCGCTTATAACTTTATTCACTTGATAAAAATGGATATCAATTTTAATGGTACATTGATTAATAGAGAGATATATGTAAATAGGTATTCTAACAGATGGATGTTATGTTGAAGTTTTGTGTGAGATATTTATTTCGGCTCAACTGAGGCATAATAATTACCCAAGAACAACTTATTGACTAAAAAAAAAAAAATAAAAGAAACAAGAAGACATAAGAAGACATGAGAAGAAGAATATAACCTTACCTTTCAGTGTAGGGTGACCTGTCGAGAATGTTTTTCGAGATGTTCACAGAGTCCCATCGCTGCCTGAAATAGTGGGAGGCGCTCCAAGGCTGTCGATAGTCATCTCGTCTTATTCTTAGGCTAGCTCTCTGCTAGCAGGACATAAAACCCGTACTAACTAACGAAAAAGATCAATTAAAGTGAATAAATAAGAAAGTAGAATACTCTTCAGTCAAAAAGTTTGAAAACCTACTTCGTACATTTCAGGAGTCAACAAAAGGAAAATAAAGTGTCAATTTCTTGAGCAAGAAGCTCAAGAACTTATAATAAATACATGCGTAAAATCCACAGTTATATACTTCAATAGTACTGTTTTTCACCTCTAAATGTATACAGTATTAGTAGATTATCCTATAATAATAAATAATAAAATGAACGGACTAAAAGCAAATAAGAATTTATTGATGTTTTTTTTTCAAGTCATTTTGTTTTCAAAAAACAGTTTCTCTCTCTATGTTTTGCTAATGAACAGTTTACCTTAATTTATAAATCTTTTTCTTTTTTTTAGATTAGTTGACGTTCAAATAGAGAAGACAGCTTTAAGGCTCAAGGGCATTAATATTTACATTATTTTTTATGGTGTCAATATTATAAGATCTATTTTTTTATTCACTAAGAAAGAGGAAAAAAACGTTTTGTTTTACAGAATAAAAAATTATAAATAAAAAGTTTTTTATATAAGTCCAGGACTTCTATTTTTGTTTACAGAATGACTGCTTAACCATGTAACTCTGCTTTTCCGATGTCATTTCTGTTACGATTATTTTTCTACTTTATTTTTTCTATAGTTTTTCGAATGAGAACATTTCCGCAGCTCAACAAAGTTTTAAATTCAAGAGAAAAGTATGTTAAATCAGAGATGGGCAACTATTTTTCAATTCCAGTCCAAATCAGTCCCAGTCCTTCCAACAGCAAAAAAATTTCAGTTCCAGTTAAGTCTTAGTCTAGTCCCAGTTCGAACTTGAACTGGTCCATCTCTGTGTTAAACAGTTTAAGATATTCTCGCACTCTCTACGTTCTATTGTTTAGGAGGTATGGTAAGAATGCAAACTATTACTTTGTAGTAGTGTGCACAGTTTATAGTATGTATTTCAGTTTATACTCTGGACCATTCTTACCCACATATCTCCTAAATAAAAGAATGTAGAGAGTATGAGAACATCTTAAACTGTCTAACACACTTTTCTCTTGAGTTTAAAATTTTTTTTGTAGAATTGTAGACATATCCTCATTCGAAAACTTCTAGAAGAAATAAAATAGAAAAATAAACATCGCGATGAAATGACATTGTAGTTTTAACAGGTCATAAAGAACATAAGTCATTTATTATCAAGTGATTGTATTTATTGACAACAAGTTGTTTTTTTTTCTTTATTTTCGAAAAAGATGATACTACGAAAAAATGTCCTTAATTTCCATTTGACATTTTAAAATTTTTTTGAAAACAAATGTCGTATCATGTGTTCAAAAGCAAAGATCATATTATAGATAGCAGAGATACTGTGTTAAGATGAAAGGTCTTTCTTTTTTTTTACAAATAATAATAAAATGTAAATATGAAGTGAAATGGTAATGATATAATAATTAGCCTTAAAGGAGATTTAACTTCTAACTTATGCGTTTTGCTATCACAATTTACATTAGTATGACTTATCCATCAATGAGTTAAATTTTTCACGCTTGATTAAAAGAGGATTAGAAAGTCATTTTTTGATCCTGTTCTATAAAAAGATGAAGGTCCCTCTTTTTAATAAAGTCATTGCCTTGAGCTTAAAAAGTGAAAAGAAAAAGAATGATGATGACAATTGATGTACGTTTTTTTTTTTTTTTTTCGAAAAAGAACAAAATAGAAAAAAAAAGAGAGAGAAGAAAGTGTTTATTTCACTAAACGTACAATTCCTCTCTGTCTCTCTTAAGTGTTGTACTATACTATTCAAACACGGTCAAAATCATTGACTGTGTTGGTCTTCTTTGAAAGGTAAGAATTTGAAAAAATGAGTTAAGATTTAACGACAGGTTTTCCTCTATCAAAGATGACTTTAGTTTTTCTTTCTCTTTGAAAAAAAAAATAGAATTTTGTCTTTGTATAGCTGAGAGCAAACAACATGACTTTGTGATATGTCGAAGAACTCGATGAAACTAATTAGAAAAAAAAAAAAGTAAAACCGATTTTTTTTTTTTCTTCTGATAGTGAAACAGAAGACTGGTTTGTTAATGTCAAAAATGATATCTTTTGAGAGTATTTAAAAATCATGGCAATATGAAGTGTGAATTATGAAAAATGTGTGTATGTATTCATAGAAAATGTCAAACGATTTTAAAAAACAGTAATTATTCTATTTAAGGTTTAAATAATAGAAAAGAAAAAAAAAGTTCAAAAGAAGATTTTAAATTCAAATTAGTTTTTGATTGTGCTTCTTCTCACTCTATTTGTATACTCTTTATAAACTTCAAAAATCTTGTTATTCTCACGAACATTAGGATGCTCTAAACTTCTGCAAAGTAATGTGAAGTGTTTTTTTTTCTTCTTCTTCTTCTAAATATATTGAGTAAAATGAGAGCTAGTTTAATGTGCTATACTTGATACTTTTAATTTATAAGTAGAGTAGAAAATGTTCAATTGAGTGAAACTAACGAATAAATAATCAAATATATTTTGTTATTTAACCTATTTGGTTATGCATAAGTGAAAAGTATGATTTATATCGATGAATAAAGATTGTCGCAATATGTCATCAAGAATTTTGTCCAAATTTATTTTAGTATTTTAAATTATAATAAATAATATATATGTCTTTCGATATTAATAATGATGATGATAAAATAATGAAAAGAGAATGAAAAAGAAAAGAGGAAAATCACTATGTAACAAATAATTGATAGATGGAATTTTGTTTGAATTGACAATGATGTACTAGTGGAATGAGGTTTTGTTTGTTCAGAATTGGAAGATAAATGAGAAAAAGATAAACACGCCATTTGTTAGTTAATCAAAAGAGATAGATCACTTTTTTAGCTAGGCAAGCTGTTGTCTCGTAATTCTCAAAGTAGCTAGCACAAACGTGAAAAATTTTTTTTTTGTTCGATTCTTCTTCTTCTTCTTCTTCTTCTATACAATCACTCTCATTTCTATTAAATTGATGAACATCTCTTTGAGAACTATAGTATGAATCATTTATGTTTACCTTTTTGAAATTTTAGAATAGATGCAATGGCCCCTTCTAATTGGGCTATGTTTTCTAATTCAAAATGATCCAATCATTGATTATGATAATATTAACGACAACGTCAATGTTAAATACACAAAGTTCTCGAACTATTGAAGGTATTTATTTATTCTTATTTTTTTCTTCATTTTATCTACAGGTTGTCATTATATAATAATCTTTTGTCTTTTTTTCTTTTTTTAGATTGCTTTTATGAGAAATTACTTGGTACTTCATTACATGGTCATAATTATGTGCACGAACGATGGCATACTGAATATGATTGTTTTTCAAAATGTTTAAATCAATCAAATTCGAATTATACGTGTAAATCATTTGAAAATTGGTTTGGAAATGATAAAACAAGTTTATGTGTACAAGCAAACATTAGTTTTAGAGAATCACCACAATTATTAGAAAAAAATTCATATGTCAATTATTATGAGATAAGTTGTGTAAAAGATACCAAAGGTATGTTATAAATATTAAACTACATAATTTTTTTAATTGATTAAACTATAGAACGTTTTTTATTTTATTTTCTATAGCTGTTCGTCTGATATCAATCTCATGTCCCGGTGATCATTTAGATATAACTGTTGTTTTAAATGGAATTGATCCAAATTATGTTTATCTTGGCGGTGTTTGTAAACCTTCATGGAGTAATCAATCACATGCACTTTTCTCAACAAACGTTGATCGTTGTTCATTGGTTAATAATTTTCTCTGTGTATCAAGCGTACAAATAATTTTTATAAAAAAAAAAATTCTTTTTAGATATTAAGTAATAGTGAAATTCGTGGTAAATTATGTTGGGATTCTGTTTATGATCAAACAACATCTAAAAAATATGAACGATATTTTACATGTCCATCAGATATTCATCGTATTCGAACTTACTCTTCAACATCATCTACTTTTATCGATACTATTCGAACTTCAACAATTTCAATGATTTATAATACTAATGATAGAGAATTGTTACCATCAAGCAAGTAAGTTATTATCATTAATTTGTTGATACTAAAATTTGTATTAGTAAAAAATTCATGGTTAAAAATAAAAATATCTATCTCGACTATTTTGTGATATATTAAATAATTGATAAAAACACTTATTCATTTATTTTAGAATATCTTTATTAGCAACAATTGAAACAGATTCTCAACAATGCAATGTACCATGTACAATTTCTATATTTTCTTCATTGAATGTAATAATTGAAACAGATTTTGTCTCACTTCAAGGCGATGAAATTATGCACGAAAAATATTTTGATTATCATTTTTGGATTGAATCATGTGATCTATTACCATTATCACCTTACACAAAATATATTCATCCTCAACGATTAATATTTAGAAAGTATGCACATATATATATATAGTCAAATTTTGATGTCTTTTTGTTCATAATTTTAGTCTACTATACTATTTTTCTAGTTGTCCAACTGATCCAAGTCTAATATTTCTTGGTAATAATACAATACACTCATTTTCATTTAATTTCAATGTACATTCAATTTTAAAAGAATCTGTATACGTTTATATTCAATGTCAAATATTATTCTACGATAATACCGTAATGAATAATGATCATTTTGATAAATTAAATAATAGTTGTGCACATCATCTTTCACATCGTCTAAAATTATTTTTAAATTATAAACAACAACAATATCATCATCGATACGATATTAATGATCGTTTTTATTCATTTTATAATTTAACAAAATCTCATACAGATAAAGCAAAATATTATCAAAAATTAAAATTATATAATTCTAGTCATTTCTATACGAGTATGCAATCATTTTTACAACCAGATGATACACTCAAATCTGTGAATGGTGAGTAAACTGTACATTATTGATCATGAATGATCCAATCATTATTTCTTTTCTTTGTAGATTCAGGGATATTATCCTTTTTTATTATACCGTCCGATATTCTTATTTTAATGTTTATATTCTGTACGATTATTTTAAAACAACGGTTTACGCCTTAAAAGTAAAATGTATACCACCACTGTCAATTGTTTGATTAAAAATAAAATCGTTTACTTTCTAAATATCTTAATGTTCTGATTGTAATGGAGCAATATTAACAAATATTATCTTCTACGCAACAAAACAAATTTTGGATATCGAATTTTCGATCGTGTTTGTACATGTTCTATATTTTGTGCTGAAGATATGAAATTTTATTTTTCTGTCTACTTTTTTTTCGTGTAAATAGGATAGTCATTTTTATTTCGGTGTTATCGAACAGTTTTGTTTACATATTTGTTAAATGTTATTGTTATTATCACAGTGTTAAAATTAAAAGATGAAAAACTTTATATGAACGAATAGATTGAAAGAGGAAAATAATTCAAGAAAAAGAATATTTCGACAATAATTAATGATAAATGATATGTATGATTTTTCTAATGTGGTTTCTTTTACAGTCGTCTTTTTCTCGCATCAATTCAACATAAATTTTTCCACAAAAACATAGATAAATACAGAACTAAGATATTAAAAAAATTTTAAATTTAACCCTTTTCTTTTAAATTTGAGATCCTTAAAGTTATTTAAATTTTTTTCACTTAGAAGTTGCACTGTAAAAAATTAAAAACTATGTATTCTTGATCAGATCGTCGAACTCTATCAAATGATGTATAGATGAGTCAAAACTGAAATGGTGGTGAAATTTCGAATTAGCGGCACCTTATGTACGACTAAATTGTCAATTTCAACAATAAATTTACTGTATTTTTCTTTTTCTTTCCGAAATATCATAAATAACTTAAAGTTTCCGTTTAGTATGTTGTTCTAACTCATTACTTGTTGGTTCTAATACGTCGTTATATTCTTGTATCTAGATTATCAACCCTTACAATTGCTCTATACGATATAATAGAATATAAGAACATGTCTGGGCACACCGATTTTATGCAATGCATTTGTCTAGCAGCTATGCTAGAAAAAATTTTAAAAATCAAGTACTCGAGTATTTTTTCGTGTAAACAATAAAAACTAGACAGCAATCACACTACGCGAGAGTTGCGAATGCGGTGCAAAGCTCTTCTGACAAAGAAACCGATAACCCGGAAAAAAAGAGCTGTACATACGCATGAATCATAAAAAACAGTTTTATGCTAGTTGGTTGCGTACGAGGTCGTAAGTAGCTTAAATCTGACGTATTGCAGTCTGAGAAGAACAACTAAAAAAATAACAGAGTAGTGAATGAGTGAGTCAAAGTTGCAAAAACAAGTACAACAGATCGTTTAATAATTAATAAAGTTTCAATCTTCTTCGTCATCCAACATTGTAACACATAAGGTGTTGTCGTATCGTTGTAACTCTCTCTCTCTCTCTCTCTCTCTAACGTGTGCATAGAACATAAGAAAGAGAAACTCGGTCGCTAAATAAGCAAACTTTCACAGTGAGCTTTTCATTGTATCTCCAACACAGCAAGATACGATACACAGAGGGTCTCTAACAACGCGAGACACGATACACAACTTGAACACAGCGAGTTATCTCTAAGCATAGCTCTAACACGGTGAGCTATTCCTAAAAGAATGAAAGAAGAAAGTTTAGATATGTAAATTTTGAAGGAGTCAGAACGAACAATTAGCTGTAATTTGTCCTTCACTTTTAGTTTCTTGGAGTTAAATTTCAGAGTGAGCAGGAAGCAAAAAGCTAATTATTACTTAGTTATTGAAAAACATTGACACCATTACTGATGGCATGAGTAGAAACTATGAACTAACCGCTATAATTACACAGCAATTACTCTCTCACAACACTGCGTTAATTATCAATAACATAGCAGTGCACCGAGAGGTAAAAAACACTAATGATTCATATCAATTACAGAGAACGATCTTATTGGCTACAAGCCAACTTGAAAAGGTGTTCTCTTCACCCTAAATGGCGCGTGTATAATCATCATACCAATTATCTCTTTCTGCTGTAAAATTTCTATGTCGCAAAACGTCAATCAACCATCTTTCAGATGCTCTAGACAAGAAACTAAATGTCCCACAGAACTATAAAATAGGATATTTTCATATTTAGAGTTCGCCCCATATCCTCGTTTTTCTATTTTTCTTACACACTTTTCAGATCTTGAACAAACAGCATGAGAAAATGACCCAAAAAAGTGTATTAAAAAAACATTACGCTTACTAGAATGCGGTTTTCTGCTTCGCACCACATTAATCAAAAATCCCAAATATGGATATGAGTGTCGCAAATTTTGTACTCGACCAGCATTCGTACTCGCTTACCTCTGCGGCAACATGTTATGTGAATACGCGTTGTTCAAAAAAGGTTCATTAGTAAAACAGTTCTTTAGCTCAGAACAGTGCCGGGTTAAGATCCACAGTTGTTGTATCTTTATCTATTAGTTGTTGTATTGTATCTTTTTGTTTTAGTATCTTCGTGTTCCATTCAAGTTATAAGGAATTCACTTAAAATCAACGTGTTTATCCCAAGCAGAAACGACCCAAGTTGTTGGGCTATTTATCTAGATTCAGCTCCACGTACATCTAGATGCACGTGGACCTGAATCTAGATAAATAACCCAAAAACTTGGGTCGTTTTTGCTTGGGTTCAGTCAAGAAAATGAGCGATAGACTTTGGTATTTATAATTTCTTCTTCATCAACCATAATTTTCAAGAACTGTAATATACAATGATCATTATACGAAGAATAGAGTCTAATTTACTATTATGACTATTTTAAGCTCATAATTGTTTAACCTCATTAAGACACAATCAATTATACTCGAGCTTGTCGTTCACTTCTTTTCATGCATTGGCGGAAAAAGAAACACAACATCAAAACTTATACAGTGAAATAGTGACGTAATTTTTGCATGCGTTATAGAGTTCAGCATTCTGAATACCTTTACCATTTGATATAGTATCCAACTCGGCTTATAAGTCTCGTAGGTTGAAGTTTTGTCTCTGAAAACTCCCTGTATTTCATTGAACCAACTCTTCTTACCCCAAATATATTGAATAAAGGGCGCTTCTTACATGATCTCATATTACGTTGTTCGCGGCAGATGATGATGTTTCAGTTTCTATTCTAGACGGCGCTAGCTAGTCGAAAAAACGGAGTTTCTAAGGAAAATCTTAAATGTTTGAAAAACGAAAATTACAAAC